TCGAACAATGGAAAGTTCTTTAAGACGTAAGGAAGATAAACGTAAGAAAAAGCGAGAAGAATTAACTGAAAGAAAAAAAAAAGAATTAGAAAAACGATCTTTAGAAATCAAACAACTTAAAAAGCTTAAAAAAAAAGAAATTATTGATAGAATTAAAAAACTTCAAGAAATAACTGGAAACAAGCGTGTAGGATTTGAGGTATGTTTTATTGTATTATAAATGTGTTATTAAATTACTCAGATAATATTATATGTTACCTATATTGCAGGAAACTGAATTGGAAGAGGATTTTAACCCAACTGAATATGATCGTAAAATGCATGAGTTATTTGATGAAGAATTTTATGATAAAATGGATGATGAGAAACCAGTGTTTGATGATGAAGAAAATGAGTTCATTGTAAATATTTTAATTTTTATTTATTCACCTACTACATTTTTTAAAAATATATACCCATATTTTAATTAAAAATAAACTGTCTGTTTTTGTACTGCAATTATATTTTTGTTTCATTAGATGGATTGTGACTATGATCCAAGTATGGATAAAAGAGCCAAAAAGCAAACTAGGGCTGCAAAACGCAAAGAGAAAAAGAAAACAGTGATTGATGATGATGATGAGAATGAAGGAGAAATCAATCATACTAAAAAGATACCAAAATACAATCCAGCGAAAGGATCGTTTGAAAAATACATTGATGAATATTACAGTTTGGACTGTGAAGATATTGTTAGTGGTGTTCCAACCCGATATACTTACAATAAAGTTCTTCCTAATGATTATGGCTTGACAATTGATGAGGTTCTAATAAAATAAAAATTACTGTAGTTTATAGTTAATATTTATAATTGTGTGTGGTTTTTAGATTTTGAGAGCTGATGATAATGAGCTTAATAAGTGGTATCCACTTGGAAAATTAACTAAAATTCAACCTGAAGCTGTTCAAAAATTTGAAGCTAAGATTTACAAACGGAAAGCTAAAGATATTGAATTAAAAAAGAAAATGTTACCTAGCCTTTTTAAAGAAGAGTATGTTTTTTGACTTTTTAGTTACTGATATACTTGACAAAATTATAAAAATTTATAGTAAAATTTAATTTTTACCTTTAAACTAGATCTTTAGATTATTTTTTTTCTTACAACATTTTGTATTTCCATCATTTCATAATAAGTTATTTCTAAAAAAAAACTTAAATTTAATGAAAAAAATATCTATATATCCAATACTTTTTAATGCATGTTTTGTTTATTTTTTAGATTTAATGAGGTAGATGAAATTCAAGAAGAAAATAAAGAAATAGTAACAACCAAAAAGAAGAAAAAGAAAAAGAAACCCTTAAAAAATGTTTTTAATGTTGAAGAAGTTTTACCCCGAAACAATGATGACCTTCAGAATGGAAAAGGAAGTAATAGCAAAAAGTTAACCAAGAAGACCAAATTCATGAAAAATACCCAAAATGAACACAAAATTATTAAAAATGTCAAGAAAGCAGAAAATACTAATAAAGTTCATACTCAGAATAATAACTCAAGTTTAAAAAATGTTAAGAATGCTGAAAATAGTAAAATTGATAATGTTCAGAATGAAAATAAAATTATTAATAATGTTAAGGAAACAGAAAATAGTAAAATTGATAATACTCAGAATAAAAATAAAATTGTTAAAAATGCTAAGAAAGCAGAAAACGGTAAAATAGATCAGACTCAGAATAAAAATCAAATTATTAAAAATGTGAAAATAACTGAAAAGGATCAAATAAATTCCACTAAAAACAAATCTGGTAAAAAAGGTGAAAAACGAAAAATAGATCATACTCAGAATGGATTGCATAAAAAACAAAAGTTTTCAGTAAAAAAGTACAAACCTAATAAAGAACCTAGTGCTTTAGAATCGATGACAGATGACCGATTGAAGGCATATGGAATTAATCCAAAGAAATTTAGAAATAAATTAAGATTTGGTAATAATCAATAAAACTGTTAATTAATTAAATTTAAATTGTTATTTATTTGTTTATTTATTTCTATTTATGAATAACCAAATGACTAATAAGTGATTGAAATTAATCATATCCGCCTAATTAAAAACAAAATCCAAAAATTGTTTACCTATTTGAATACAAAGTATTATGTGTACTTTTATTTTAAAATAAGTACTTAAAGTTTTTGTTTTCTATAAATCCAATACATGATTTCTACATAATATAATAGCCAGATAATAAATGTTTAGATGTAGAAAAAAAAATATATTGAATATGATCAAATAGTGTTAACTGTTGGCCAATTTTACTGTTTTAATAGAAATCGTTTTCAATCTACATTGAAAGTTTATGATGTTACTATTATGGCAGTACATTAAAAAGACATCACCAAATTGACGTATGGTTTCATATGAAAGAGATACTTGTATTGCCTCATTTAGAGTGAATAAATTCAGGTGACATTATTGTGTTTATATCTTATACATTCACACATTGTTATAACAGAAATAAAAATATTTTTTCTGTCTGGCAACAAACGTGTTTAATAAAAACCATTGTTTTCTTACATGTATTTAATTCAGTGAGTAAAATTGAATAAAGCTATATGCCTACATTCATCCTCCATTATCTACCAATGATTAATGTTAAAGATGTAGGTAGCAGTAATCTTTGGTAATAAATTGAACATTGGTACCTATACTATTTTTTAATATATACTCTGATGAGATCATTTTTAACTATCCAAACATAACATAATTTTAGAAAATGTTCACAAAATATAGTCATAAAAATAGTGTTCAAACAACCCAATAAAGACTTAAATATCTTGTTAATAATACACATTTAATTCATAATTACTAAGAGTTTATAACTGATGACTGATAGAATATTAGTATAATAAAAATATACTGTGACAAATTCGTCAAAGCTTGTTCAAAATAATTAACAAATTTGGTAGGTACCGTACAATACAAATAATATTCTAAACAATAATTTAAAAATTTGATTATAGAAAATACAACCAATTGTATAGGTATTCGTATTCTAGTAGACTATCTAAGATCTAAGTTAATTCTTAATAGACGAGTAGTAGACAGCAGTTACATTAAGCTTAACAGCAAATTTATTTTTTAATATTCCGAGGCTAATATTTAGTTTCTTTAGTATATATTAAAATATTTAGTAAAATGTCGAAAAAACATATTAATACTAATATTTTAAATTTTTATAATTTTGAGACCTATCTTAGCAAATATTTTGTATCATTTACTAATAGAATATTTTTCTTTTTTATTAAAATGAATTTTTATTCTATTTCTAAAATAATCAATAGTTGTTCACTTAGTAAATTATGATACAAGTGAAATGTATATCTTTTTGTTGAAGTTTTGCATGTTCAAACATAGTTTTATTATTGTAAGTATACTATTATTATCAGGGCTCGTAAGTTCATGCATTGGCATGTTTTTTTTGCTACACAGAAAAATATGCTAACTGAGATACAAATCCGTTTCATAACAAAAGTAATAATAATATGAAGTTTAATAGTGCACGTTTTTGCATGTTTTGGGTGTAAAGGCATATTTGGCATATAATCGTTATTTTAGAGTTTATAGCGCAAATTATTTCATAAAAAAATTGTTTAGAAAAATATTTGAAATGTTTCTTGTTTACTTTCCCGTTTACTGAATGATAGTGTCTTGATTTATTTTTATTTTCGAGTGACTACTTAATTTTCTAGTATTTCCCTATTTAGATTTTATGCGTTTTACTTAGCACCGCGGAAACAATTTTATAGCTACCACTACCATCCCCGCCGTGCATAGTCCCTCGTCCACGATGTAGGAAATATTTTTATCTACATCGTGCCCTCATCGAAACGATACCTATACAATCATGTACACCTGTACAATGTTTCTTACCAATCCGCATCTACAATTTTGTACACTGGTACAGTATAGTTTTCTTGCACACGCGACACGCCAGTCGCCGATGAGTTGTTTAACTGTACGAGTCGTGAAAATGTCAAATAACTAATATTTCATTCCAAATATTTTCATTGTAGGTGCAGGATAATGGTGTACAAAAATTAGACAAAAGATGACTACCTAATTAAAATTAATAAAGATGACAAAGCCATATGATTATATGAACTTCGCAAGTATTCATTTCATTAATTTTGATTGTTAAATATATAAAAATTAAAATGAATAAAATACTTTTAAAATTAATGGAAATATTCTTATTATTTTAAAATTTGCTCATAAATATTTTACATAATGCATATTTTGAGTGCATAATTTAAAATGTAAGGGCATTTAAATGCATATTTTCGAACTTTTTAGTGCATATTTTGCCAATTTTTAGTGCATGATTGCATGCTTATTTGTGCTCTTTTTAGTGCATGAACTTACGAGCCCTGATTATTATAATCATTTGTAAGACTGTAAGAGATATAAGTAAATTATTCGTTTTTTTTTGTGTATATGTACCTATAATATTGGCATTATAATTGAACTTATTTACAATAAAAAATTCTGGACCCTAGGCCACATATTAAAAATAACCCAAATTGTTAAATAATATATACTAATATATATAATCGTGCTAAAGACAGACTTAAAATAAACCGCTCTAGACACAAGTAATAACAGTAACCGATCACAGACTTAAATCGGTTATAATATTATCCTGTCAGTTGGTAATTGGTTATTGAATTTGTATAAGCTTCAAACAGTTTAAACACTCAACAGATAAGTTAATATAAGTGAATAAGATACTATACAGTGTTATGAAACCAATAACTGCACATTTATAAGTGCATATTATCAAGTACTGTTGATTTTCATATAAATGAATTTTAAGATTTAAGAGTCACGCGCCCGTGCGTTCAATAGAAAATTTCAAAATTGAATAATTATCCGAAAATTTCAAGTTAAGAATTAAATTAAAAAAGAAAGAAAGAGTTTTTAATGCATTTGGCGACACTGTTCGGATAATAGAGTGAAAAGAATATGCAGTGATAAGACGAATTTGCCGACTAACAAGAAGTAACAATAAAACAATATTATTGTAATTTGTATTTTGTAGCTGAAGTAGTTAAGTAGTTAGCGACTAACAATTATTATTTTTTCACGTATTAACTATTAAGGCACCAAGGCAACAACAATAAGTTCAAGTAATTCAACTTCCTCTTCGAGTCAATTTATTTTATGGACGTATAGTGTTTGTTAACATCAATTGATTATTTTTTTAAAAATATTTATTTTGTTTTGTGCGAGTCCCGAGTTTCTAAAGAGTAAAGATGTCATGGATACCTTTAGAATCCAACCCAGCTGTGAGTAAAACTTATTATTATAAATGTTTTATACAAATATTACTGTACAAACTTGATTTTGCTTTAATCATTTTTTTGGCTGGTAACTTTTTTAATTTGAGTGAAACTAGTGAGGCTTATAACGTGATTCTTGAATGATTTTTTCAATATACTGTTTAGGTATAAAAGCTCATAAAAAATATGAATAAAATATAAAATATTTGAATTAATACAAAACCCTTTTAAATTTTAAGTTAAACACAATTATATTAGTTATATATATATTCTTATTATATTTATATTTTCAATACAGCTAGAGATAAAGCCGTAAATACCACCAAAAGAGCTTTAAAATTTTACTCTTTGATACATTCAAATTTCAATACACATAACTACATATTAGTATACAGTCAAAATTATTGTTCAAACAACCATTAAGTGATGTACTTACAATCCTATTTAGCAGTACTGTTTTTGTTGTAAATAAGTTTTAATCCTTTTCTATGTTTTACCTATACTTTTAAAATTAATTTAAATTACAATTAAATATTCATATATGTTTAATATAATAATTACATTGATCTTTGTTATAGGTGATGAACAAGGTAAGAAATAACTTGGCAAACTTTTTGAAAATGTTGACGAAGTCAGGTAAAAAGTTAAATGTTTCAAATTTTGTTTGTAAAATTAAAAGGTTTGTGGTATTTAGTGCTAGTAGTACCTATACTATTAAATTATTCTATAAATAAAAAATGTTGTTATAGCTAGTTACCAAATTAATTAATATATCTTATCAGGGAATAATTTATTAATCATCAAAAAAGACGTTAGCATAACAACCACTTTCATACTCAGGTAGATTGAAAAATCAACAAACATGCGGAAGTCCCCTTTTAAAAAAATGTTTGTCCCTTGATAGGAATATTTTTTGTTAAAAATTTGACATTGATTTTCATCTGTGGTTGTTCAAAGTATTATAATGTTGTAAATGTTTTCTATTGACTAATTTCCCCTTTCGACAACCAAAACTTTTTACTATTGGGAATAAAATTACTACTATGGGAAATACTATTGGGGGATTCAGTCATTGGAACGATTAACTGGTCGTTAAAGTTCATATGCTCATCAGTTGTTTGTCCATTTTGGTCGTGTGATTAAATCCTACCCTTTTTTAACTAATTAATATGTTACTAAAATCATTAAAATTAATTGGTAGATACAAATTGGTTTTTGTAGTTATATGATTTAATCAATGTAGCCATCTATTAATTAGTTTTGGTCTGTACCTATAAATTAATGTTTTGTATATCAATTAATGTAAATATGAAAAATATTTGTGTACATTTGTTTTAGTTTTTGCAAAATTTGGGAGTGCCAAGTGAATGGGAAGTATGTGATATTTTTGGATTTGGCCCAGATGAACTTGCAATTGTTCCTAGACCAGTTGCTTCTGTAATTTTGTTATTTCCGTACAATGATGCTGTAAGAATTATTTAATTATTTTTATTTTAGTAATGAGTAAAATGCAATTTATTAGTGGTATTAAATTTATTTGTAGTATCAAAAACGTAAGAATGAAGAAGAGTTGAAATTAAAAGATAAAGGTCAACAAGTATCAGATGATATATATTTTGTCAAACAATATGTTCACAATGCTTGTGGAACCATGGCTTTAATTCATAGTGTTGCTAATAATAGAGATAAGTAAGATTGATTGTTATTATGCTTATTATGATACTTATGAATAAAAATTAAATAAAAATTTTAGGATAAAACTAAATGCTGGTATATTACAACGTTTTTTGGATGATGGAAAAAATATGTCTCCAAGTGACCGTGGTGAAATGTTGACCAAAGCCGAAGATATAATAAATACTCATAGGGAAATCGCTATTGAAGGACAAACTGCGGTAAATATTTTGGATATTATTCCTAAAAAATGTTAATATTTTTCCTTTATTTTTTTTGTGTTCATAAATACTTTTAAATAATTATATGTATAAATCAGTCCCCCTAAAACCAGTGTTTTCAAAAAGTCTTACAAATGGTATAGTGCAATTATAATTATTAACACAAAAATAGGATCAATGAATTGATGAGAAAAAAAATTTTAAGTTACAATTTCTAAAGATTTATATTTGCTTAACTATTTCCCTAATGACAAGAATCACAAAACTGTAACATATATGTAGAATACATAAATAAAATTAATTTTGTTGTTTAAATTACTCAAATTAGTTTGATTACTAAAAATCCCAATACTAATTTAAAATTGTATTTTTTTTTAGGCACCCAATCCAGAAGATGTACCACCTTATCACTTTGTTGCATTTGTTTGCAAGGATGGATGTTTGTATGAACTAGGTTAGAATGAAATCTACTAATTAGTATATTTTATTAATACTGATTTAATTGAGTGATTTATTTTTATTAGATGGCGGAAAGTTTGATCCTATTAATCATGGACCTACAAGTCCAGATTCATTGCTCGAAGTAAGTTTGTAGTTTATAATTTGTACAAAACATTATTTGTTAATGCATTATTTAACTAAATGTTTTATTTTTATTTTAGGATACAGTTAATTTAATCCAAGAAAAATTTGTTGTTCAAGATCCTGATAGTATTTACTTTACCTTACTGGCATTGTCAAATGTATCTGATGCTTACTAATAATTGAAAATTGCATCGTTTTTATATTTGCTTTGTGATGAATTTTTAACTAAAATTTTTTTTATCTTCAAGCCGGTTTATAATATCAATATGATCATTACTTTCTTTTTATAAAAAAATATTAATATTTTTATGATGATTAAATAAAAATGTAATTTTTAATTATGATAGTTTCTGTAAAAAATAAATAGTTTTTTCAAATGGCAAATTAATTTGTTTGATTTTGAATATTTTTTTGTTTTTAGAAATTAGAGTATGAAGCTGTTTGTTATTCAATTTGGGTGGAATAGTTCTGTGATATTAGTGGAAAGGATTATATTTGGTGATCAATTTATGCTAAAGCATTGTTAAAATTTAATAAAGCTGTATTAGAAAGAGTAGGTTAGAAGGTTTTCTAAAGTAATTATTTAGGATTATAGACACTCTTTATCAAAACCTAAATTGTATACAAAATATAATTAAAAATCATTAAGTTTTAAAATAATGCAATTATTATAATATTTTTTTATAATAGGTAGCGTTTACAAAATCTGCCAAAACAACACATTATTTTTACTCTAAACTTTTTCAATATTTAAAAAAAAAAACAGTGGTCACTAGATTTTCAATACTCCGGATTTGCATTTTAATTAATTCATTATTATAGAATCATCGCTTTTTTAACTATTTTATTTTTTACCTACCTGTAGTTCATTGAATTAATGCCCGATAATGGTACACTACATAAGCATGCACATGGTCATATACTGACTTTTTTTTTTTCCATTTGAACCGACAGCAGAGGAGGATCTGTGTGAACACTACTACTCCTTCATATACTGACTTAAAGAAGTCTCCTCCCCAAAGCCTATAGGAACGGCCTGCGTCGAACACGTTCAGCTGTTACCGCTTCTAGCCAGTGACTGTCAGTATTGGCTGACTGCAAGTCTGTAGGATTCTCCAGTAGGTATGCCAATGTTTTCATTATTGATTCACCTTGAACAAAATGTAAAATATGTAAAAATATCGATATGTCACTTTACACATAATTTGTATTATATGATTTAATAAATCAAATTAATCCTGGTTTCGTGTTTCGCGTTATTATTCTAGTTCTTTTGTATCGAGTTATATTTTTGTACCAAAGAGACAGTATATCGCTTTAGCTAGGCCAGATCAAACGGTAGGTTGCCACAGATTTAAGTACATAATTCAATGCATTTGAATTTATCTATTTCTCTTTGGTTTTGTATATTGTTTAAACAAAAAAAAGTAATTGTTACATATATAATATTGCAATACAATTCTACATGATTAATAAAAGAAGTAAAAATATTATAAAAATAACTATATTTTAAAAAAAATTGTTTTTATTGGTTTTGAGTTTGGAAACCATGGCCATTAGCTACTGTATAAGGTATAGTTTTTTGTGGGGTAGGTATTACTGTTGGTTTAGCAGCTCGTGTATGTGGCCAGGTTTTTACCAGTATGGGTGGAGACCCATCCGGGAAGATGTAAGAATAAGAAAATGTGATAATATTTACAGCGCGAGTCACGTATTAAAGTATCGTTCAAATGTCGCCTGAGTTTTGTAAGCAACTTTGTCGCAAACAAGATAATAAAGACAAGACAGTTAAAGACAGTTCCGGACAACTGGTCAATAAATTTAAAACATGGGAATAAAATATTAGTAAATATAAGTACAAAAAAAAAAGAACAGAATTTTCAAGTTTAATATTTGAGATAATTGTAACATAGGGGGACGAGGTGACCGAGTGGTCTGACTCTTCCGCTGCGACGCAGCCGGTCGCGGTTCGATCCTCGGCCACCGGGCGGCATTTTTCTCCGGACAATTCGCGGTGACCGGAGAGCAAGTGCTGCCATCCCCCACCCCCGGGGCATGGCAGAAACCTACGGGTGCCCCATTCGAAATTCTGCCAAAACAAACACACACGTGTTCCCCCTACCGTTCCAAAAACCTACAAACCATCAATACAAAAAAACCTACAGTACCTACTAATAGCTAATGGCCTCAGTTGCCGGGCTCAGGATCAATAAAAAAAAAAAAAAAAAAAAAAAAAAAAATTGTAACATAATGTTGACATAAGTTTCAGTGGCACTATCTGCTAGAGCCAAAAATAAATAATAATTAGCAAACGATGCAACTCTCCAGCACTGCTTATAAGTTATAACTCTTATAACTAAAGACCGACTTTAATTGACAATGCACCTGTGTTTGCACACTGCAAGATGAATCAAATCTGATCAAATATTGTGTTGCATTAAGTATCAACCTGAGTTATGCACTTTCTGCATATTTCATTTCAGAACGTAGTTTTTCTTTGTTCAAACATATTTTAAGTAGTATAAGATATAACTGTAAAGAACCTAATTATTTGGAAATCTATTTGAATATAAATTTTAATACAAACATTTATTTTTTTTGTTCGATGATTTTTTTGGTACAATATTATAGAAGTTAGAGATTTACAATATAGTTACGATTTTCATCAGCTACATAAATTAATTTTACGCTAGGGTGTTGAATGTTGATGCGTTTGATTAGAATATAATAGGTACTATTTCAATTAAAAACCAACTAGACAAGTAGCATAACAAAGCTGCATGTTTATTTATGTAAATCAAGTTCATGAACAAAAATTGTTTTCTAATTATTTCGGTAATAATGAATTACTTCATTCAGCGACTAAGTGGTTGCGGTCACCCTCTAAACGGCGCAGCAAAACATGCGCCGGACGAATTTTTTCGAGAGTGTATTTTCCATTTTGTGAACTTTCTGGGTTGCAACTTTTCACACACGCAATATTATTATTACTTTTTTTTTTATTAAATATAGTCCTCTGTTTCGTGGCTTATTGGTAGACACCACTTATGAGAGGTACACTCGTTTTTAAACTTATAATATTCCTATTGTAATATTAAGTAATAATAACACCATATGTAACAAGAACAAAACTTATCATGTGCTTAAAATGTAAAATATCATGATGATTTTCATGTAGTAAATATTTTCGTTTTTAAAGGCTTAAAATACTGAGATTCAACACTACCTCTCCCAAACATTAGGTTCCTCAATCATTTAAATACTGAACACTACAGGGCCGTATTGGCACATGGGTCTAGGGCCTATACGGTAGTGTTAACCCGGACCTGCCGGGAACTAGTGGCAGTAGACGGCGCATACTCTCAATCACACTGCTCGCCTGATTGCACTGTAATAACTATACTATAATTTTTAATAGTGTAATATTATATTATATATATTATTTTAATTTTTTCCATAATCATAATAAATTTAGAGCATTATACGAGACTGCCATGGCCTTTCACTCATACGTGCTGTATTAAAATTGCATACACAGAGCGCCGTCTTATAAACATTAACATCTAGTCCACGAATTAAGATATACCTTAATTCGTGATCTAGTCATTACATGTCAAGTTAACAGATTCATTATTGATTGTGTTTCTAATATTATTTTTACTCACAAAAAAAATTTAATTTAAATTATCAATTCCCAGATGCGAGAATTGCAATGCTGCAGTCGTGAACTTCGATAATATTGTTGACCATAATACTATATTGTTATAAATTGTAAAATTATAAAAAATGTAGTTACTTACATGATTGTTAATATTGCATTGGTAGAGTTTATTTGTTTTAAGTTATAACTATTCTAATAGTTATTACGATATTTGAATCAAATATAAACATTATTTTTCTCAATTCCTTATTGGAGGAACATGGAGAGTGGAGGTGAACGGCCAGCTACTGCCAAATTTCTATAGGCTTTCAATGACGAAGAACTGGTCAATTCGAAAAAAATATTGTAGCCTTTTTCTCATTTTATTTACACTGCGATGGAGTCCCCCTTTTTATATTTGAGAAGATTTCGTGTCCTGTTAAGTTTAAGTCTCCGACGTCTGGGGGTACGCCTAACAAGATATTTATTGTAAATGTATATTGTGTGATAATTTTACACGCCCTCACACTTGGCGATTAATCTCCGAATTTAAAAGTATTTTGCTTGAATAATATCCACGTTTCTGGCGATGGGGAAGCGTGCGATTTTTAATCACCTATTTAAAATGTAAAGTAGTGTACTGTCTGGTGAGTAGCACGATTAAAGATAGCACAACCAGCAATAATTGGCCACGCTGGCATCACTGCGTGTGCATAAACTGACCGGAAATATATGTACGGATGGGTGCCCGTGTACGCTTTACCTGGTATCTGGATTCTAGACATAGCCTAAGATGTATAAATACACAGATTATTGTGTTTTATCGTCAAGACAGGCTTTATCGTTGTATTTTTTTTGTCAAGACTGTCCACGGCACTGCGAGATGCTGAACATTTACGCATATAGAGTATCATACTTTATGGTTTTACCGCCGTTCGCAATGCTGTTGTATAGTTATACGGAGTTCTCGTCTAGTACCTAGTATATAAGGTATATGGAAAATATAGATTTTATTAATCTGATTATAATAAAATAAACCAATAATAGACGGACAAGCCGTTATTAGTTTATGACACTACTTTGTTGCTTATTTGTTATGACATTTAAATACCCTCATATTTCGTTCCGTCGCGGTTGTTCTCAAATGACATCTCGATAATTTCAAGTTTCAGTTAGTAGCGAGATGAAGATCGATGAAGACAGCTGTTCCTTCGGCGGCGGTGCAGTACTTGCACGCCAGACATGACACAGACCAGAAACATGCACACAGTCGTACGAAACCCTCGTCGAATGTACTTGAAAGAACACGGTGTCGACATCAGCACATAATATGCACACAAAAAGTAACAGTGAGAACTCACACAAACGAATTCAGTTAACCGTGTAATTAAATTATCGTACAACTTAATATACTGGTTTAAGTATAAGTAGTAGAGTTGAATACACAATATGGACTCGTATAATAGGCAAGTGTCAGAAATGAAGAAAATATCAATATTTGTTTGCCCAATTGTTATTTTAATAAACGGCTTAGACTTAATAGCTCCGCATATATTGGCTGCCAACAACAATTAATAAAGCACTTTATATTAAATTTTCAACTTTTTTTACC